GGGAAGGACTGCATAAGAAGAAAAGACAGACTGCAGTGATCAGGCTCGGTCGGACAAGGGCACAGACTGGCAGCTGGTTTAAGCATGTCCAGCCTTTTTTACTCCCCCACCTCTCCATTTTCCTACATTCATTCCCCACCCCATCCACCCTGACCCTTGATCCTTTCCCCACCTTTAGCCTTTCCCTACTTCCCCTGAGCATCCCATAATAAATCTCGCAGAGTCCCACAAGCCCATAATACTCCTGATGACTGTGTTCCCCCCTTCTGCTGCAGGGCGCAGCTGGACCCTGTTCAAGGCCATTTCTCAGCAGGTCCCTTCCTGGCCCATTGGCAGTGGCTGAAGCCTCTGCTCTTCCTAGTTGTGCCCCTTATCACCTGCTGGGTACTTTCTATGTCTTTTTTTAGTTTATTATTCCTATTTGGGTTTGTTTGTTTGTTCTGAATCACCCTTAGACAGATACTGGATGATCTCACAGCATACGCTGGCTCTCCTGCCCATGCCTGGTAGCCGGGGAGAAGCTGGTGGACAGGGATGCTTCTGGAGCAGCACCAAAGGGTGGGATTCCTGTTGCCCACCTCCTCTGTCTGCCATGCAAGGGTCTCTCAGGGATCCAGCTGATCTCGTTGAGATCTGAGCAAAGAATGCAGACACAGATGCTGCTAGGATCTCTTGGATGCTTCTTGGAGGATGGGATGAGTTGGTAGAGCTTGTTGTGGAAGGGGAGAGCAGCTCTGAAATAGTCGTGTCTGCTGTGGGGTGCTGCTGGGCTCCTCACCCTACAAGGATCACAGAGGGATGCAGGGTGCACCTGGGTGTCCTGGAGCAGCCAGGTCCCAGGTCCTACCGGTCATCTCTAAGGGGTTCATACCAGAGGGGACAGTGCCAGCAACATCTGTGCCACCAAGATAGTGCTGCACTCAGAAAGGGGACATAGAATTATGGAATCACAGGAGGGTTTGGGTTGGGAGGGACCTCAAAGCCCACCCAGACCCACCCCCTGCCATGGGCAGAGACACCTTCCACTAGACCAGGTTGCTCCAAGACTCATCCAGCCTGGCCTTGGACACTCCCAGGGATGGGGCATCCAC